AGAGAAGGCATATGATAAAGTTCCTAGAGAAGTGCTATGGAGAGTTCTTGAAAAGAAATGAGTTAATAAAATTTATATTCAAATCATTAAAGATATGTCTGTAGGAGCTATTACTTGTGTTCAAACACAAGGTGGTTTGAGCAAGTATTTTCCTATTTTGGTTGGATTACATCAAGGATCAGCCTTAAGCCCATATCTTTTTTGCTTTAGTCATGAATGTTCTCACTAGACATTTGCAAGAGGATGTACCTTGGTGTATGCTTTTTGTTGATGATATTCTTCTTGTTGATAAGAATAGAGAGAGTTGAAGGTAAACTTGAATTATGGAGGTTAACCTTAGAGTCTAAAGGATTTCGCTTGAGTAGATATAAAACTGAATATATGGAATATAATTTTAGCAGTAATGAACCTAGTGAGGGGATTGTGAATTTGGGCGATCAAGTCATTAGTAAGAGTACACGTTTTAGATATATTGGATCTATTGTTCAGAGTGATGGTGGAATAGACGGGGATATTATCAACATAATTCAAGTTGGATGGTTGAAATGGAGGAATGCATTGGGCTTTTTGTGTGATAGAAAAGTCCCACTCAAACTTAAGAGATAATTCTATAAGATGGTGGTGAGACCTGCAATGCTTTATGGTGCCGAATGTTGGTCATTAAAAGAGAAGCATAATACTAAGTTAAGTGTTACAGAGATGAGGATGCTCAAGTGGGTGAGTGGCTTTACCCTTAGAGATAAGATACAAAATAAGGAAGATAACATTAGAGAGTGTCGTCTTAGATGATTTGGTCACATAAAACAGCAGCCTTTCGATGACCCAGTTAGAAAAGTAAAGGTATTAGATTTGACTTATGTAGACCTAAAAAGACTTGGTTAAAAAATATTAGAAATGATCATTATTTATTAGATTTAAATGAGAATTTGGCTTTTAACATGACAATGGAGAAAAAGGATTCATGTAGCCGACCCCCACATAGTGGGACGAGGCTTGATGTTGTTGTTATTGTTGTGTTTATGTTTTTTGGGAAGGATCCAACTGTGTTTCTTATGTGTGAGGGCTATTTAGGGGGAGTTTTGTCTAGGGTTATGATGATATAAGGGTGTTGAGTTTATTTTATAGGGTTTGGTGTGAGTTTCCTAATGACGGTTAGGGTTTATAAGAGAGACGATATACCTCTTGAATAGTAGATCAATTGTATCTTTCGTTATTATTTACGAAGTAATAAAAAATCAGCCCCCATATTTGTATTTAAGTACTTTTTCATCTATCTATTTTATTATTTTTACTTCCAAGATGCATCAATACACATGGATAAACGTAACTTCTCTTCTAATTCATGGAATAAAACTTCAACTTCACTTCTCTTTATTTTTTTAGGCATAGGAAATCAAATTATTATATTATCAAGATATTTTGATTTCTTGAATTAAAAAAATCTATATGTTACATACTAGATACTTGGGTGCTCTTTTAATCTATCCAATCGCTTAAGTGACTTTCAGAACAAGTCACCTTATATCTAATTTAGACCTAGGAAATAAAGAATTCTTGAAGACTGTAATTCATGCAACAAAATAGTTCCCAAATGCTCATAGAAAACTCCCGACTTTTGACCGTCTTGAGATATCACAAGATTATCATACCTCTTGCTCCTTGAAATTTCTTGATTGCATTTGAGAGGAAATGAACTTCAAATTTTATCAAGGTGCATACCCGGTGCATAAAGCACCCACTAATGTAAGATTTAAGAATTTTGATGCATCCAGCCTCATCTTTGCAAGCATTATAATACGGCCGTTTTTTGTTTTTTTTTTTTTTTTTTTTTTTTTTCTTTTTTTTAACTTGTGCCCTCCAAAACACAATAGAGATTAGAGATAACCTAACAACTACTCCAGTTTTACCCTCACTAATACTAAAAGATAGTGATGAGGACATCAGAGATCAGTGGCTACGATCTGGAGGTTTTTTTGTGTGTTTTATGTATTAGTTTATTTTATATTTCTATTTTTCTCATTTTACCCATAGGAGTGATCATGTGGTGTTATAGCCCGAAGGTCATTTAGTCATTGTTTCTTTTCTTTTCATAGGGCCTATTTATAGGCTAGTTCTCCTGTATTTTAGATTAATGATGAACATGAATAAAAATTTAGCTTTCTTGATCTTGATCTCTTTGTGAGTTCTTGGGAGGAGAAACCCTAGGAGAGGGCCACGCATCACCCGTCAGCCGCCAGTGGATTCCGGGACTCGCGGTTAGTAGTCGTAATATTTTCTTATCGTTTCTTCCTTTCATCTACATCCGGCCACCTCTTCTTCCCCCTCTTCTTGTCGCCGGCTTACCAACCCCTCTCCCTTCTCCTCTTGCCGCCAATCCAAACCACCCTAACCCCATCCCCACCGCCACATCAACACCTCCGACCCTCCCGTCCGCCACCAAGCCATCACTCCCCAATTTTCCCTTTCCAAAATTGTCCCCAAAGCCCCACTTTCCTTCTTTAACTCAACCTAATTGTGGAAAGAATTTAAATTTGAAATAAATCAAATTTAAATTTCAAAATCTTTCCTATCTCATTAATCCTATTTTGGAAAAGGCTCCTAATTAAAACAATTAATCAAATCATGATTGATTGATTAATTAAAGCTTTAAATTCAAATACATTGAATCTAGACACTTGCTCTCTCTCTCTCTCTCTCTCTCTCGCCAAAATTCCCAAGGCCCCGCCTCCTTTATTTCTTCCTAAATTGCAAGCTCCTCTCAATGGAAAGACTTCAAACCTCTCTCCCTCTCTTACCCGCCAACCCCCCCTCCTTCCAATTAATTTTAAATAGTTAACTTGCCACCTAAGCAAGGGAAATTAACTCCCAGATCATCTCCATAGCTGCCCGCATACTTTTCCACTTCATTCTCCAAGTTCCTGTGCATCCAGCAAGAGGAAATCCCTGGAATTCCCCTCTCTAGCTTATTGTCCAGATCCCTGGACAGGTTCCATAAGCTAAACCTGAATATTGGAGCCTTGAAAGTTGCTGTCCAGGCTATGCCAATTGCTGTCCAGAGAAATTCTGCATCTCTTCCTGCTGTTCAGCCGGTCGGGGAATCTTCGTGTGCTGTCCTGAAGGTTCAGATTGCTGCCCACAACACCAAGAAGGTTCTTGGTTGTTGTCCACTTCCTCTCCAACACCCAAACAGCCACCGAAGCTTCATATCTTCTATTTCTTTGGGTAAACTCTTCCTCAAATTCTCTTATCTTCCTAGTTTACTTCTCACTTGTGGTCTTAGTAGATTCATGAAGATAGTGTTAATGCTCCTCCACCAAAGCCTAATAATCTTAGAGAGTTGAATGAGGGATTCTTGCATAATAACTAATCTTATTGTTAATCTAGGGATCTCTCGTTGAAACCATCCATGTATGCAATGTTAAATTAATTAACTGTTTTACGATCTTAACTCCTACGCATGTGATTTAGCCTAAGCTTGTTTTATCATCTTATTGTTTTATCTTATCGTTTAAAGCAACATAAATTTTATTTAATATTGTTCTCTAAATATTAAGCGTGCAAATTTCCTTAAGCAACTCATCTTCACATGTTTGTTCTACATCAAATAGGGTTTGTTTTCTTTTTCTTCTTCTTCTAGCTTCAGCAAATGGCGGAGTCTGATGGTAGACAAATTGTGGCGTTCAAGGAGGTGTTCGGCCTCTTCAATAAAAATGGTGATGGCTCCAACTTGCAAAGAGCTCAGTACAATAATGAGATCATTAAGCCAAAAGTTGATGCTGATAAAATCAGCACTGTCGATTTCTCAGAGTTCCTAAATATTATGACATGCACACTGATTCTGTGGATGTACTAATGGAAAATTTCAAGATCTTTAAAAGGATCAGAATGACTTCATTTTTGCAGCAAAGCATGATCTCGTGATGACAAGCCTTGGAGAAAAACTAATGACTGCAAGGTGACTGAAATAATACATGAGGCAGACAACAAAGGAGATGGGAAGGTGAACTATGACGAATTTGTGAGGATCATGTTAGCCAAGTGAGATAAAAAGCTTCCATCCATGGCAAACATGCTTAATGTTTCAAATGGAACATGTACTCAATTATATTTCAGAACAGCTATTCAAACAATACCTAAACGTAACATATCTACCTTAGTAGAAAATCAACTTTTCCAAGCAAGCATTTAAAAAAAAAACTAAATCATCAAGCAAGGACCACAAAAAAGTGCTGAAGCATCAGGTGAATTGAAGTTAATTTGAAATGAATTTCTCAGTAGGTGCATATCTCGAATCTTAGGTTCCTCTTTCATGTTTTAAGATTTTAGAGGCCATCCCGAAAGGATAAAACTATTTAGGTAATAGTAATAGAAGTGAACAATTGCCTGCTTGTTATGCGTACATGTGATGAATTATATTCCATTTTGGCCTAGTCTTACAAGCCACAATTGAACCGTCCCATTTCAAAGCCTTATCACCACCCAACCAAAAAATAACCAGATAAAGGGTATTGTATTCTAAAATGAAAATTTTGCCATATGTTGCTGAAGTTATGGCATTTAAGAATGCCAAGAACTTTCTCAATTTCTATGATGTGTATGAGCATGTTTTGGTGTGTAGGGTGGAGACAAATTTTGGGGACTAAGCTTTGAGTTTTTCATAAAGATTACTTGATTGCCTAATGTAAGGTACATGACGAAATGGAAAAAAGGATCAGCTGAAAAGTGGTGAAATGTAGGTACAATCATATAAAAATTTAATTTTTAACATAAGAACTACCATTGTAAGTTTATAACTTAAGATATTATGTGACAGCTAACAAGAATAATGCAAAAGATTCCAAATACCAAAAGGCAACATGAGGAAAGCAAAATATTGAAACATGACAAAATATTTATAAACTCAAAATTGATGCTAAAATCAAAAGTTAAGAAAGGGATAAGTAAAGAAATGATTGAAATTAAGAGTTTAAGAAAAATAGATGTTCAATATGTTAACTTACATGAGTAGGAGGTATATGCTTCCCACTAAGCAGATCCAAGAGAACAGTACCAAAACTAAATATCACACTCTCAGGAGTAACCCTTCCTGTAAAAAACAGTCTTAATAATTCTACCATCATGGTCTACAAAATTTCTCAAATATAGAAAAATTTCATTGCTAAGAAATATGTGATAAAATGATATCACGAAGATTTAAAAAAGTAAATTTATTAAATTGAAATTTCACCAACTATGCTGTAAGAATATGAGTGTTTTGCAACAAAGAAGTCACTAAAGACCATAGTATGATTCATTAAAGGGGTTTCAAAGATCATATTGGTTCACAAAAGTTCAAATGGCTATATACCAGCCATAGGAAGCCAAATCATACCATTAAAGGTATAAACCAAGCCAAAGTTTAAGCATTTTTAAGCCCCCGACCATCGTTGCTCGACTAATGTTGTCCGACAATGATCTCTCAACCACTGTCGCCCGACTATGATCCCCAACCTTCATTTGCTAACTACCGTTTTCGGACCACTATTGTCAAACTGCCACCCAACTACAATCTCCCAAGCACCATCGCCCGATTATGGTCCTACGATCACAATCATCCAACTAACATCTTCATACCACCCCAAATTGCTTTCGCTCGACTATGATCTTCGAACCATCATCGCAAAACTACTGTCGTCTGACTACAATCTTCAGGCCATTGCTATCTGACGGTTATCTCCTAACCACCTTCACTCGATTATGATCTCCCAAGAACCTTCACACAACTACAGTCTTTCGACCACCATCATATAACAATAATCTCCCAACTTCCTTGAAGATGATCTCCCGATCACCATAGCCCGACTAAAGGTCTCATGAACATTGTCACCTAATTATAGTCTGCTAACCGCCATCAACCAACAAAGTTCTCCCTACCAACATCATCTAACTATGATCTCCCAACCATCATTACTCAACTATGATCGCCTGACCAACTTCGCCTGTCCAATAACGATTGAATATGATCTCCAAATCAATGTCACCCAACTAAAGTCTCCTGACCACCATCACCCAACTACAATTTCTTGACCACTATCGCCAGACTATGGTCTCCTAAGAACCGCAACTTGATTATGATCTCCAGCATGCACTTATGTTGTCAAACTATGATTTCTTAACCATGTTGTCAAGCTATCATCGCCCACTTAGGGTCTCCTGACCACCGTAGACTTATTATGATCTCCCGACCACCATCCACTCCCTCACCCCAAATGATCTCCGAAACACATTACGACTATAGTCTCCTCACCACAATCACCAAACTACAATCTACAGATCACCGCTGCCCAACTATGAGCTCCCGACCATCATCGTCAAACTATGGTCTCCCGACCACCTTCGCACAGCTATGATATTCCAACCACCGTCGTCCAACTAAAGTCTCAAAACAATTGTCACTCGATTATGATCTCTCAATAACTGTTGCCTAACAGCGGTCTCCAAACCACTGTCACCGAACTACGGTCTCCTGACCACCAACACCTGATTATAGCGTTCGGACCACCGTCACTCGACTATAATCTCTCAACCATCATCGTCCGAATATGATCCCCCGAAAACCATCGTCTGATTATAATTTCTTGACCAATACTATCCCGGACTACGACCTCTCGACACCCTGCTATGGTCTTCTGACCATCATTGCTCAACTACAACCTCCCAACCATCGTCTTCAACTAAGGTTTCATGACTACCATAGCTTTGCACCATACTACTTCCAACTGACTACGGCCTCCTGAACATCGTTGCCACAATATGGTCCCGCGACCCACATCACCCAACTAAGGTCTCCAAATTCACTGTCACTCAACCAACTATAATTTCTTGACCACCGCCACCTAACTCTAGTCTATTAACCACCGTCACCTAATTGTGATCTCCCGATCACTATCATCTAACTACGGTCTCCTAAACATCATCGCCTTACAATAGCTCGTTGACCCTTGTCACCCAACTAAGGCCTTCAGACCATTGTGCTCGACCAAGATGTCCTGAACAATGTTGCCCAACTGATATCTAGCAACCACATACGCCCGACTATAATCTCCCAACCACCGCCATTCTTACAATCTTTTAACCACTATCACCGAACTATGAAATCCAAATTATTGTCACCTGATTATTATATTCTAACTACCATCATCTGACTACAGTCCTTTGACCACTATCACCCAATTATGACCTCTAGACCACCATCATCCAATTATAATTTCCTGACCACCATCACCCAACTAAGATCTTTGACCATCATAGCCCGATGATGATCTCCTGATCATCATCACCTGACTACAATCTCTCAACCACTGTATCCTGGCTACAATCTCCCAATTACCATCACCTAACTTTTTTAATCACCCTAAACCCAATTAGATTTACAAGATGCCTATAACTAAACTGGAATGGAATTAATAAGATATGCCATAGAGCACTCACATTCAGCTCATATGAAACTGCCTAACATATGTCATTCGTTTTGTCTAATTCCTTAACTCTGTGAGCTGAGTTAATTTTGGAACCTTATTTTGAAGTATGTTTGCCTTTTGAGCATGGCTACCATATCTGCCTTTCATATGTTTATTGATGATGTAACTATTTCTACTACCATTTTATGCTAGTCTTTAATATACAATCATCCACCATGTAGTATAAAAAGTTCATGGCAAAGTAATTAAGCTAACCAAACACAGAAAAAATGAAAATAAAACTCGGAGAAACAACATAACAACATCCCTTAACAATACCTCCAAATAAGAGGCATGAATGGCAGCTAAAATTCTATAATCAAAACAGAACTACTTTGAATAGATGACACTGTAGCTCAAACTTTTCTTGTTTCATTTTCTCGCAGGATTTTAGAAAGTAAGGATCACCTCGAATACAATAGTAAAATCAAGTAAAACAAATTTTACGTAGTCAAGAGAATTAGATACCATTTCTTAAGTATTCTGGAGGCGTGTAAGCTAGGTTTGTGCTGTAGCTTTTTCCATCCCTGCTGTTTTTCATAAGACCAAAACAAGAAAGGCGAGGATCACCATCCTGCAAAATAGTTCATATTAAAAAAAATGATGACAGATCCGATTCAAAAGAAAACTGAAATTAGAGTAAATCATGAGAATGACAGTGCATCTGACATCTACTATGAAGGCAGAAAAATAAAATAGTGTATAGTAAGATTCCCTACAATATCCACAGTGAAAAGCACTTCCTCAGCTATACTGTAATAAGCATTGTACACATATGAAGTGGCCGTCAGAAAACTTTGCTAGCTGGGGACACTGCATTTCTAGAGATTCTAGTACATGTTCCATGTGAGGTTTCGATTGCACTATACAGAATTCTGTAGAAATCTAATAACCTAAGGCAATCACAATTTACTTTTAAAAAGTCTAGTTCTATGCTTTACAAATGGGAATTACTAATCTCTTAGGAGATGTGCCTATATGGTTGTACGCACTTAAAATAGCCACGTTAGCTTTATATTTAGACTTTGTTTGAGATGGCTTTCTTATTGCTTCTTAAAACAGCTTTTTAGTTAAAAATTATTTTTTTTTACTAAAAAGCTGCTTTAAGAAGCAATAAGAAAGCCGCCACAAACGAAGCCTTAATGGATAGATAGTACTTCTGATATATTTCGTAATAAGCCAACTATTATGGCTCAACTATGCCATAAAGACGATTGTTAAAATAAAGAGAAAAGAAAGAACATCATTCAGGTAATGTGAAAGCTGAAATAGACAAAAAATATCTCAAGAGAGATGTCCATTTCACCTCATCAAAAAGAACTCTGTAGGCATTTAGATCATGATACAAAGGTCGTCCTTCACTGCTGCAATATTCCAGTGCTTCAGCTATATAATATGCAACCCTTAGACGCATAGCCCATTCAATAGTTTGATTTTCCCCTGCCAAAATTAAAAAGTTGCATTTAGCATCTGAAATACTACAAATCTGCAAATTGGAAAAGCAGTATAGGAGCATTAATATATTTTAAGGAAAGAAGCAGTGAATGGTTAAAATAAACATACATTTTATTGATGAACTTGACATGACCATTATGAAAAAGGGGCAATTACATACATAACACTCAAATATTGACTATTTATAGAAACTAAAACCCGACTATCCACATTTAGAATAGTAGCACCCAAATCTTGAGGAGCACAACAAAATCCCAACTCTTACTTCTTGTTTTCATTAAATTATCAATGGTTTGGTCTTTAGCATGTACAAATCCATTGATTTAGAAGTTCATTTTAAAAACCTAGGCATTAATTTTGCAAATAAGAAACTTTTCAGTGATTTTAAAGAGACAAACATGAAATCAATCATCTCATATATGAGCATTCACCATTCCATCTAGCTCAATATAATTACATCATCATTATCATGATAATCAATCATTGGACTTATAATGTAATCTTTCCAATTAGACATGCATGTTTAATTAAACAAAAAAAAAATCTATAAATTTTTGTTCATACTGTTGCCATTGCAATCAACAATTTTAAGAAGAAGAAAAAAAAAACAAGGCACACAACTTCGAACAAAATAAAAAATCCTGATATGTTATCTCCTTAATGCAATGCAAAACTCAAGTTACTTGTGGAAAACTTTGTTGAAGGTTTTATTTGGGACAGCTTTTTTACTGCTGCTTAAAGAAGCTTCTTGTACAAATTTTTTAATATTTATATTAAAAATCTGCTTTAAGAAGCAGTATGAAAGTCATCCCAAAAGAAACCGAAAAGTGAGCCACATATAACACACATAGAACACTGGTAGGAATGATGTTCATGTTTCTGGAAGAATCATGGTGTTGCACTATCAACTGGTGAATCAAAGTTGGGTTCAACGGAATCTTTTTCTTATTTTCCCCTTTTTAGTGTGATTGATTGTTAGCAATAAGAGGAGGATGAGGCCAACAAATCATGTGTTAGGCAATAAATGCACATGGTAAAAGGCCAACATCATCATTCACGATAAAGGTAACAACATCGCTCCTATAAATGGCCAATAATTACACATTGCAAAATTAGCAGAAGATGGAGATTATTCAACATATCAATCCTAAAAATTAGGAAATAACGAACAGTGAAAGAGGTGCTTGGCAAGCGTGTCATTAGGCATGTACTCGGCCACCAGAAGCCGCTCATCCCCATCGCAGCAGTAGCCGATTAAATTCGCCAGCCTCCTATGTCTGAACTTCCCCACTCCCCATGCCTCGTCCTGCAAGTCCACAATTCGATTTCATTTACATACCAAATGAATTTTTTTTAAAAAAGAACATGCTAATCGTTTTTGAGAAAGAGGGCGCTTTAGGGATTGGAGCATACGGCGAACTGCTTGGGATCGGGCCAGGCAATCTTGGTGAACTTCTTGACTGCGATCCATCTGCGGCTCTGTAGCCGGCCCTTGTAGACTAGGTTGGGGGCCTTCTCTCCGCTTTCCGAGACGATGTTCTCGGAGCTGAAGCCATTAGTGGCCGCCTTCAAATCAGCGAACGAGAACTCGGAGAAGGCCGGCACCTCGCTGACTGCCTCCGCCGCTCCAAAAGGCTGTGGTGCCTGCTGAATAGAGAAAGATCGGCGCTGATTCTGCTGAAGCCGGATTTGCTTCTTCTCCGGTAGCTCTTTCTTCGGCGACGAGCAGCAGCCTCCCATCGCCTTCCCCTTCGCTACTCCGAGTGAGATAAAAATAGCTTTTTTTTGCTGCTAGGGTCGCTATAATGGCTAGCTTGATGGAATTTAGGGAAGAATAGCGGATGGGCAAGAAAAGTTACAAAAGAAGGAAGAAGGAATCCCTCTTCTATGCAAGAGCTATAATAACTCCTTTTCACTTCTGCGCGTGGGAAAGCAAAAGGAGATCAAAATCTAATCATTTCTTTTACCTTCCTATTCCGCCCTCTCGTTGTCTCTTTCACTTTGGCCAACTCTTTTTCAGTTCATTTTCCTTTCTTATTCCCTCCCATTCTAATATAAAGTTCAGATTCCAAATTCCAAATCTTGATGGTGGCAGAGACATTTTAGCGTATATAATAAGGCAGGATGGGGTGTTAACCTAAATAGTTCATATTGGCATTAGGGAAGCACACAAGCTATTGTAATGTTCAATGTGTTGCATTATTTTGGATATATTTGATCATGACAAATCTTTTCATTGTATTTTTTTTTTTTCAAAAAGAAGGCTAGTTAAAAAACGGGTGCAACACGAGAACTTACTAAAAAGGTCACTCATCCTAGTACTACTTTCGCCCAAACATGCTTAACTACAAAGTTATGATGAGATTTGATACACTGGTGCTGATATGGTCACACCATCTTTTCATTGAATTATGATACGATAAAAATAGCACATGATTGTGTGAACATTTAAGATTTAGATGTTTAGAGTATAGGATTTGAGCCACATGTGAATGTTGCTCTCATCCGTTTTTTAACTGATATATATATATTTAAGGGTGTACTATAGAGTATTATGTTATAAATGTGTTACCTCTGAAAATATACCTTTAAAATATTTATAAATGTGTTGCGATGTTATTAAATATATTATGTGGTTCTATAATTTAATTGATATGCACTCATGTCAAAATAGTTAAAATAATACACATAGGTTGAACCATCAAGACTTGAATGTTAAAAGTGGAACTTTTAGTGGTTCTGACTTTTTAATTGAATTTTCATGAAATAGTGGCAAGCACTCCGTCCAAATTATATTTGTGTATCGAATATTTATATAGTTGTAAATATGAGGTGATGACTTTGTTGAAAAGATTTGATCTCGAGGATGACAAAAGTCATCATAGTTGATATTTTTAATATAATATACTAGTTACCCTTAACATCTCTCAATCAACAGAACATAATGTATCTTATATTCCTCAAGCATCTAAACACCCTTATCATAATTCATGTAAGTAGATTAAGAGGTCAAATATATATGATTATGATGGTACATAATCTATCTTTTAAAAGGCTATGAGAGGATGTCTAAGATGTTAGTTGGATGATTGACTATATGGCACTATATATTATATATATATTACTATTTTAAGTATGTCACATAACTAAGTAAAAGAGCGATTAAAGTTGCCCTATTGCACTTTGTGTTCCTTAACAACATTTATTGAGTTATGCATAAACATTTTTACATTTTAGACTACTAGAGATATATCCCTACATCCTATTGTTAATAAGACTTTTGAGATCACTAGTCAATGATAAAAAGTATTATTAATATGTTGTCGCTACAACGCCTACTGCTTATATCATCAAACTATGAGGAACACGTGGTTACTAGCTTTTTTTATAACAAAATTTTTCACGCAAATTAAATTATCTTACAACTTTGATACGCCTTGCCAATAGGGCTATTCTGGGTACGCCTATAAAGGCCCATCCAATTGCCTAAGCTGAACATTTTATAAACTCAAGTGATTAAAATTAATCATATCTATGGACATGACATAAGCAAATGACTCGACTTGATATGCTTTATACCTAAAACAAGTCGTGTTTGCAGCTCAATTAGGAATGTCAATGACCCATCAACAAACAATAGATGCGACGAATAAGCTATAAATATTGTTCACTCAGGCAATGATTTCCAAGATTATAACTATGCTCATCATTGAACGGGAGGTTGTTTCATATGCTTATATATTTTATATTTTTTAATTTAATATTTAAAATAATGCCAATTGCATGCTGTAAGAAAACAAAATATGGGGATTTTATAAATTGGTAAAATGTTTGTGATCAAAGAGTAATTGCCGTGATTTTTTAATATTCTTTATGCAATTTGCGTAACAATCACCTCTTAATCTCTCTCAGAATAAAGCAGACGATACGTTAAAATGATTTTATATTGATTGATTGATGGAATGACTGCCATTATTCCATTTGTGATGCTACAGATTACTCAAAGGTTTGCAGAGGCAAGACACAATTGTAATTAGTGGAAGGAGAAAGTGCAGTGAAGCCTTTCTTTTTTTCTTCGAGTCTCTCAGGTGTCTACTCCATGGAAATTATTTTGTGGGATACAAATACCGTCAGGATGCGAATCAGATGCCGCATAATACTCAAATTTGGGTGTGTATCACGGCTATGTAGTGGGTGACATGGCGCATTCTGATTCGCTTCCGAACAGTCCGGTGTTCCAACAAGGTTTGGTCACTTGATTCGATTCTAAATTCCAACAAGGTTTTAACTTACACTTCGTTTGGGACAGTTTTATTACTGCTTCTTAAAGCAACTTTTCTGAACACAAAATTTTTAAACTGAAAATTTTGTAATTAAAACGTTATTTTAAAAAAATAAAAAAAAAATTGTCCCAAACGAAACCTTAATTTGAACGAGAGTCAAACAAAGGTTTGAATGAGCTTCAATCCAGTTTAAACCAATTCTTTCTCAATAGATTCCAAATTCTCAATAAAATAAGGACTATCTTAGTCAGATATAAATTTTCGAGCATATTTTTTTAAAAATTAAATATAAGCATATAAAGTCAAATTACCCAAACAGAAAGAGCATTATTTTTAGCTTTTTCTCATACTAAACATAAAATTATGAGGTTATATTTGACACATTATATAAAAAATATAAACCATAAATTTAAATTTATTTAGGAATCTAATATATCATTATCTGAAACTTCAAATATAAAACATCATATAATTTTAATTTTAAAATTTGAAATTTAAATTCAACCATATTTAAAAACTAATTATCATATCATAAGATTATTATTTTAAAATTTAAACATGGTTAATGCTACAATTTAAATTTTTTTAAAATATTTTTATGCCACTTAACTATAGCATAAGTTTTTATTATTTTTAAATTTGAATTCAAATCATAAATAAATTTTATATTATTATTATTATATTTTTGCTAATAATTTATTAGCGCAATCTTTAATTATTTTAACCCAATTAGGGTCCAAGATTTCTACTAATTAATATTATTTTGATATTTTCCCCTATAATTAATATACGTACGTGACTTAGTGACATTTGGTGCAATCTATGATGGGCACATGCCATGATTTAACATTTGGATTCTAATATATTGTCGGATATCAGATAACATGCAATAATTTTGATTTAAATGCTTCAATTATTTTATTTAATTAATACTTAATTATCACATTAAGGATGCAATTGCTTAAATTTGAAATCAAAATAAATGTAATTTTTTAAAAAATTAAAATCAAATTTAGTTTTTTTTTTAATTAATTTAAGCTAATTTAGAGTAGAATTGAATGTCTCAATAAAAGGAAACTATTATTACTAAAAATGATTCGATCCTATTTCAAATGAATATTAATTTTGTGCTTGAAGTATGGTTAAAGTTTTAGGGATATTAATTAGAGGAGCAAATAATTTTCAAATCTTACTTGCTTATAATTTAATCGAGATGAATTCAATGAGCTCAAGATCCTAAAAAAATATATGATAGAAAGCACCATATTGCAAGTGCTTTATTATTTTAGATTTAGGCTTCGTTTGGGACGTCTTTCTTGCTGCTTCTTAAAGCAGCTTTCTAGTACAAAATTTTTAATTTTTATGCTAAAAAATTGCTTTAAGAAGCAGTAAAAAAGCCGTCACAAACGAAACTTTAGTAATCATAAAAATATGATGTGGAGCACCTTGTACATGCTTATTAAAATTATGATTATTTTATTCAATGAGTTCAAGATCACTTTAAAAAATATATGATAGCCATATTGCAAGTGCTTTATTATTTTAGATTTAGGCTTAGTTTGGGATGGCTTTATTGCTGCTTCTTAAAGCAGCTTTTTAGTACAAAATTTATAATTTTTATGCTAAAAAGCTGCTTTAAGAAGCTGTAAAAAAGCTGTCCCAAACATAACCTAAGGCTTCGTTTGGGACGGCTTTCTTGCTGCTTCTTAAAGCAGCTTTCTAGTACAAAATTTTTAATTTTTATGCTAAAAAATTGCTTTAAGAAGCAGTAAAAAAGCCGTCACAAACGAAACTTTAGTAATCATAAAAATATGATGTGGAGCACCTTGTACATGCTTATTAAAATTATGATTATTTTATTTCATACAATTTAATACATTATGAGAATGATCAATATTTGTAGCATGAAATTCACAATTCAAGACTTGGAAAATTGTTGTTCATAACAATACACTTGGATAGGGTGCATAGAAAACATCTATCTGTTTTTTCAATAACATTTCAATATTTTTTCTTCCTTCAATTTGGGCTTTATTTTATGTATAGATTAAGGGTGTAAGTGAGGTAAGTCAGCTCACGAGTCAAGCTCATAAGATGAGTTTAATGAATTATAAGTTTGAGCTCAAATCTATACTCGAGCTTATATATAATACAAGCTCGAGCTAGAGCTAAGTTTGACTCGGCTTGTATGCTCGTTGAACCGCTCTCTTAAATTAAACTATATTTCAAAATAAATATCCTTAATGATTTTTTCAGCCAAGCTCAAGTTTCCAAATGAGCTCGAGCCTAATAATTTTTAAACGAGCCGAGTTCGAGCTCAATAAATGAGGTTGAGCTTGAGCTCAATAAAACTTAAATGATGTTAGCTTGATTATACAAATACTCAACTCGACTTGGCTCGGTTATGCCCTTAGTATAGGACAGCTCTAAGCTAAGCTTTAGCTTTTCATGTGAAGTATCCTCCTTTAATCTGCAATAAGCTTTAATAAATCAATCAATAATGTAAAAATAAGCATCATAAGAGCCAGTTGGAAGGTTACAAGCAAAGGGGGAAAAATATCTTGGTCTATTTGTTACCAACACATTAAAAACAAGAATTTTGCTATAATAAGCTACTGAGTATAGAGGTTGCAGACAGCTATTAAATAACTAATGAAGGGATGAGATAAGAAGTTTGAAAGGATCAACTCAACACTTTTTTATTAAATAAGCCAAGCAAAA